TCTTTACCTTTCATATATACATTATTTATTTTCTTCCTAAATTCATTTTTCTATTTTTAAACTATGCTTTATTCATGTAATTACATTTTAATATTACAGGATAAGAAAATTAGTGTAATTTAAGTTTTCTCTTTAAGATAGGTTTATACATTTAAATAAATCTCCTTGGCTTGTATTTATTTAAAATATTTAAATAAATTTCTTATAGCATTATATTCAATTTTGAAATTATTTGAAAAATCATAGAAATATAAATAATATCTGCTTTGTAATTGTTTTATGCAATCGATAATATCTTCCCCAATATTTATCCTTCCGATAAAATAAGAATTAAATTACAAGTAATTAATTAACTTTATCTATGGTTCAATAAGATAAAAAAAATCAAATTTTTGATTTTCCCTAAGTTCTTTGTATTTTGAAATTTAAATAGAAATAAATGTTTTTAAAAGTTTTTCAGATAAATCTATATTGAAAATATCTTCATCAGCATTTTCTAGCTCTTCTCACTATTGCTTATAGATATTTATATTTTAGCAAATCTATTAAAATTAATAAGAAGTGAATGCTTCTTATTCCTAAGAATTTTTTTAATACTTTTTCCATGATTAAGGGAGAATATTAGACTTTTTGTTTAATATATCTTGAGTCAACATCTGCAGGTCAACCTATCAAATAGTATTATAAATTATAAAAAATAAAATAAATATATGATGTTTGATCTATATTATTTTTCATTTTAATGTAAAGGCAATCTTTTGATTGTATGAATATCCTTTAGTTGGATCAATTGAATGCATTTAAATTAATTTTGATTGACCTGAAGGTATTTCTAAAACTACTTCTTTAGAAATATCTATTCCAACTCCTTTCAAATTAGTGACTTCAAATTAAATTGTTTCTTAATATGTTTTAGATTCTTTATTTTCATAAAAGAGAGCAATCCCTGCAGGAAACTTTGCAAGATAAAAGTAAACTTGTACATTCTTTATAATTTAAAATATTTTATACATTTCCTTATATATTTCTTTAAACCTTTTAATCTGGCTTTTAAAGAATTTATTTAATGATATCTTATTCAGATTTGGCCTCAATTACTTGAGTTTGACATTTTAGAGTATATCCAAAAGAACCTCCCCCATTTTTAGTTACTCTGAATTTAACCATAACAGTTGAGAGAGGCTTACACTCAATTTCAACTTTTGATGGATTTGAATATGGAGGGCATATTTCTAAATTTTATATTTTATCTAAATTAAGAACTTCCTTTAAGGTTTTGTTAATCGTTGAATTTTAATACCAATAATAAAGATAGCCTGCAACAACACCAGAAATTCTTCTTATACCAATTTCAAAATCTTTAACTTTCTCTTCATCAGTGTCTCTCTCATGTGCTCTTAAAAATCCATCAAAAATTTTATTAATGGTTTATTTTTCTTAACCAGCAGTAAATTATAATTCAGAAAATTAAACTGATTTAGAACCATAACAGGAAACTGCTAAATATCGATCATAATTCTATTCCCAATCTACTTCTACATACAATGAATAAAAACCAGGTTCAAATACTTTTTCAACTATAATATCCCTTTCATTATCAAAAGCTGAACCTGAATAATATAATACTTCTTTTGTATTATTGTCTAACTCTCCAATAATCAATCTAGCTAATGAATAATGATGGCCTTTTTAAAAAAATCTCTTATCTGATTGAGTCAATGAGATAAATGCATGAGATTTTTCATAAACTCTCATCAAAATAACTTTTTTGGTCACTATGTCTTACTTCTCTACTTAAAGTTGTGTTGCTGTATATAAATAATCCGGTTTAAATTTGCACACACATACCTAACTAAACTCAGTTATAAAATCTTTAACACTCATCCAAAATAATCCATCATCTTTTTACTGAACTTATAATCTCTATCTCAATTCAGGTGTCCATTTAGTAGAATTATCACTCCAATCTTATGTCCATTCTTTTCTACCCCAAGGCTATTCAAATTTACTATGAATTTTATACATTTCTCATCTTTATTATTCTATCTGGCTATCCATCGCTACCAATTACACTTTATAAATCTAAAATTGCATAACAATGTTGAGATACTATTCCACCTCCATTATCTAATTCTAATCCATTTACATTTGTTTCTGATGATGCTGTTAGTATATATTTTTATTTATCATTTTTCTCCATGAAATCCCAACATAAATCAGCATCTTTTAATGTTTCAGCTTTTCTGATAAAATATTCACTCGGAGCCCCAGTTAAATCTTTCAATGCACAGCTTGCTAAACCAGAATCTATTTTATGATAAGATCCATATATCTTGGCATAAGCTTTTTCCAATAGGAGCACCCATAGTTCATTTCCGTTTGCCTTTGAAAATATTGGGCCGCCTTATTTATTACAAGGAATGTAATCATCTATTATGATTTCTTACAATATTCCATTTTTACACAAAAAAATTCCATAAAGCCCTTAATTTTTAGAAATTATTCTTACCTTTTTCTTAATATTCTTAATGTCTGAATAGCTTCTCTATTTATTATGATACTTCAGCCAAAGCTGATAATGAACTTAAAAAATAACAATTTCCAAGTTCACCCTATTTAATATCCATTGGATCGATTGTCTATATATTACATCTTTATAGATATACATCAAACAGTTTAATTGAACCTGGCTATAAAAATTAATCAGGTCTTTTCCAAACTATATCTTTTTCCTTCTTAAAATTAGGATCTGACGATAGACTTTCACGATTTGCTGGAAATTTTTGATCCTCGAATACTGCTACTTATTTTTATTACCTAATATAATTTAATATTTTATATAAACATTTCTTCAAGAGCGTAATCATAATCGGTCTTTATTTAATTAGCATTAGTGTGCTAGCGAACAATTCGATCAGCAACAGTATTAGTTTATTTTGAAATAGTTTAAGGTTATTAATCCGGAACAATTTTTGTATCGAAGACAAAAGGTTTATATTCTGCTTTTGCAGCAGGACCCCAAATAGCTTCTGAACTACCGCAAACTCCCATTTAATAAAAAATTATATTAAATATTTTTTAACAAAAGATAATATCAGTTGTCAAATGACATTATTTTTCTTTAATCAACTATATCCACATTTCTTTTAAATGATTTATTATAAGATTATATTAGAAAAAATAGATTGCATCAAGCTATTATAATACTGATATTATTATTCTATTAAAATTCATAAAGAAAAATATAAATTTTGAAATTCAGAAATTTGTTAGAAGTGTCTTTGAAATTACTTAAAAGACTTTCCCTTCAATAATTTACAACTTAAACTTAATAAAAATCTATCAGACATATTTTGACTATATTACAAATTTTGAATTAAGAATTATGGAAACTTAGTTTATTAAATACATAATTTATATATTTGCTCATTAAAACATCAATAATTAAGTGCTTTCTTTTTATTTTTTAATATAGTCTTTAAATGTATTTCTTCTATTATTTTTTTAAAAGATTATTCTACTTTAATACTCTTACAAATTATGTAAAAATTCTCCATTATCCTATATTACAAACCACAATATGTATTTAAATACAATCATCAAAGATAGAAATTAAAGATATCTAAATTTATTGATTCCTAAATTATGCTATTATATTGAAAGGAATTTTGATATAATAATCAATAAATTAAAATTGATGAAAATTGCTACCTTAGACTGCAATATGTTTTATATCTAAGTTTTAAATCCAATGCTTCTAAAATTAAATAAACAAAACTAGCCATTAATAATCTAAAAATATAATTATAGGATCATATTAAATTTTGCTACTTTTGAAGTTTGCTTTACATTTTATTTTTCTAATTCATCATTCATTTAACCTTGGCTTAGCTTGGCTTATCTTGATTTAATTTATTTATTAAAAATTAATTTTTAAAGAGTGTATATATTTAAGCTACCATTATGGTTGTTTATTTTGTATTTGAGAAATTTGATAATTGGATTTATAACCTAGATTAATAAAATTACAGTTTTTTTTCTTCAATTTTTAATAAAATTATGGATAATTTAATTCTCTACTCATGTTAGAACTTAATCTTGTTGCATCTTAAAGAACTTGATTAATGCTAATAATATTATTGAAGATATAAGAAGTTCTACTTTCTTATCCATCAAGACTATTTATATAGATCAAACGATGATTTTTTAATCGTTTAAAATTAAATTATAATTTTGTGGTCAAATGGGTTCCTATTTATCTGATTTTGAGTGCCAGAAGTTAGTTTGTGTTAGAGAAACTAAAAATAGAAATCATACATTAAAATTTTAATATTATGAAATGAAATAATTAGAGAAATAGTAGAAGAGATTGATACTTATAATGTATTAAGTATTCAATAGTAATCATTTTATTTAAAATATCGATCTACCATAATAATACTTGTGAAAATGGAATTAAATAATCAAGAGAAGGCATATCAAGAAAAACTCTCCCTTCTAAATGAATTAAATAATCCAAACCTTTAATTAATACTCACTCTCTATCTTGATGAATAGATGTTGTTTATTCAAATTAAAAGTTTTGCTGGTATTTAAGAATTTAAAAATGGATCTTAAGAAATTTTTCGCTTAAAACTCTAAAAAGAGAAAATAGAATGGAACTATTCATTATCTAAAGTTGACTTAAAGTAATATTAATCTGATGATTTGACAAACTTTATTGATTAGATCAAGAAGATGAAGAATTATTGGTTAAAATGCTTAAAATCACCTTGATTAAAGAGTAACAACCAAATGTAATTGTTATCATTCCTTTTATAATTGATTATCAGAATAAGTTAACTCATTTTATGCCAAGTTTAAGTGAGATTTTTAAAATCAAATATATCTCATATGAATATCTATAGACTACTGTTTAAAAATAATTTTAAGCGTCAATAGAACATATATATATTATAATTTCTCTTTGGTTTCAAATGATTAAAATTTTTAAATATTTTCCTATTGTCAATTTAGGATTCGAAAATTCCAATCATTTAAATATTAAAGAATAAAACTCACAAAAAAAAAATGAAATAAACAGATAAATTTGGATGAAAAAAGGAGATGGTAATTTTTTAATTTCACAAAAAATAGTGTCTAAAATTAATCGAAAAAAAAAAGCATAATTTGGTGTTAAGGATTTAATATGTTAAACCAATCTTTTGGTTAATAGGTTAATTAATTGGCTAAAAAACTAATGACCTCTCGAATCTCTATAAGTGTATATTATTTTAGTTGATGTCTTAAATTCTCTTTATAACAATTAAATTTTAAGAAAGTAACGATGATATCAGTAACCTTAGAAATATTATTATAAATGCATGTCAATAAATGAAAAAAAAGTCTTAGTTTGAAAATGTTCTATTTCCTTATCTTCTTTAAGGAGAATTAATGTATTTGAAAATATTTACTTGGCTAATTTAAATGATCATCATAAAATAAAATTGTTAAATATAATCATAATTCAACAACTAATTCTAAATGGAAATGATATTAATCAAAGTTAAATTACCTTATTCAAAACATTCAAAATCCTTTATTGACTTAATAGGTCAAAAGTATTATGTTGAAACAATTGTCGATTATTTGAAATAATGAATTATTGAAAAATTTTTCATTAAAGATTAAAGGATGAAAAAATAAGACATAGAAGAAAAGCTTGATAATATAAAAGAATAGATAATTAAGGAGTTAAAATAAAAATCTTTTTAGAGAATTAGTAATTATTGTCAGCTGCTTTTAAAAGATTTTAAACATTTGTGTTTGTCTTTAAATTTTCTTAAAATTCAGAATTAAGTACCAATTATATCACCTATTGATTAAATGAGTAAATATATTAAATCCATTCAACTTAAAGAATCTGGATTATTTAAATTGATTTTCAAAATTTTCAAAATAAGAAACTTGGTGAAAAGAAATATCATGAAATAATAATAGAAAATTTATACTTAAATGAAATAATTATGTGTTTTGTGTTTGAATTAATTTATTATTTTGTTTTTTGCGCTTATAAGAAGTAGTAAATATACCTAATCTTCCTTTAATACAGTTGGAATAAAAATATTTGATCAAATTTAGTACAGTAAGAATAGGTGTATATTCATTAATTTTTTTGGCTGAAAATGGGGGTTAGGTTAACATTTAGGAAAAACTTTATACAATTTGTGAATAACTCTCAATTAAATTATTTATTAATAAAAATTTCCTTACCCAAAATGCTGAATTATTGAAGTAATGACAAGAGGTTTTGCTAAAATCACTTCTGAATTTGAATAAAAATAGCATAATATGCTGTTTTTTTGCTTTTTTTTTGGTTGGGAAATCCTAAGTGCATTTATTGGAGAATGAGTAAGAAGAAGATAGAGATAAATTTAATCGATAAAAAAGCGAAGTCTGTAAGGAGAATGAATGTATTTATAAAAACTTATACTTAGAGTAGCATAGCTAAGTTTAATTAAAAAATACTAAGAATTTTTTGGAGATTACCTTTTATTTGATTTTGAGTTAACCATAAAATTAATTATTCTTATAAAAATTATTTTTATATTAAATCCAATTAGAATTAAATAGATTTTGATCATAATAATTCCTTTAGCTTTTCATTATGTATTATTATCAATTGATAAGAAAATAAATGAAGTTATTTTTCAATAATTCTAATTTTAATTAAATAGAATTTAAGTCAAAATATAACTCTTTTTTTTTGAAATAAAGCCTTATTTTTAATCAATCCATAAAAATTTAAAATAATTAATATTAATAAATAATCTGAAGTCATGGGAAACAAATTAAAGAATTCTAATGAAGAAGTAACATAAAATATCAATACAGAAACGTATTTATCAAAATTTTAGAGCAATTCTAGAACTAATTCAATTTAAATAATTAAGACGAATAATAAATGGCAAGAACGAATAGAAGAATACGAAGGGATTATTTTAGACTCTCCTGATGGGAGATTAATAAAGACTATTTTAAAAATTGAATTCACAAAGAAAAAGAAAATCAAATATTCTTCAAGTGATGGATCGATTTATAGAATGTTGTATATGTTAATATTTTTGTATAGAGATTAAGTAAAAGACTTTTCTAAAGATTAAGAAATTATGTTGAATACAGAATAAATAAAATACCTTCAGTGGGTAGGAAATTATGATAAGAATCAAAAAAAATATGGAAAATGGGTTGCTATTTGGTAAGGCCATACTCTATCTAATATTGGTGGATTTTACATGAAAAATGGAGAAAAAGAAGGTTTTTGGATGGAACTTTTTGAATAATTTTAGAAGTAATTAAAATTTTGATAGAAAGCAAAGCTCGTGTTTTTTAGCATGGAGAATATGATAATGGTTAGAAAATAGGATATTGGAAATATATTTACAGAAATAGAGAGATCTAAAGAGATATTATGAATAGTTGAAAATTAGTGGTTGTGGATCATATGGTAAGTAAAGTAAAAAATTTGGAAAGTGGATTGAATTAAGTAAAAATTTTTAGAAGTATTGAATAATTTAATACTAAAAGAAATAACTAATATATCTACAATGGTGAATATAAAAATGGAAAAAAATTTGATATATGGGATGTTAAAGTAAGATTTTATGGTACGAATAGACATATGTAAATTATTAATTGAAATTCTTATATTAATAATTAGCGGTGGTGGTTTGTATAATAAAACTGGAAAAAAAGTGGGATTATGGATTGAATTGATTGAGAATTTAAAGGAGTAAATAAAATTCCTATTTAAACTAAGTTCGAATATCGTTACTTAACAGGGCTTTTATATAGATGGGAAAAAAATTGATAGATGGAATGTTTATTTTATGAAGAATGATTAATGGGAAAATTTTTTAATGTAATATAAAAATTTTATAAACTTCTCTTAATTTAGAGGTAATGGATTATACGGGGATCTCGAGTAAAAAATTGGAAAATGGACTGAATTGGGTCAAAATCTTTATAAGTATAGAATATAGTTTATAATTTTTTTAGGAATAGTTATATTACATATTAAGGGGAATATTTAAACGGGAAAAAAGTTGATAGATGGGTGACCTATTGGTACGAGGTCTAAAATAATAAAAATTAATAGATGTTTATATTTTATTAATTCTTATTATTTTTTATTTTTAGTGGTGGAGGAGTTTATGATTAGTAAAATTAAAAAATTGGAAAATGGATTGAATTAAGCTAAAACTTCTATTAGTATAAAAAATTTATTATTTTTTTTAGAGATAGCTAAATTACCTATAAAGGAATATATGAAAATGGGAAAAAATTAGGTAAATGGGTAACTTAATGGAAAATAAATAGAGATACTGAAAATACAGTAACGTAAAATTAAATAATTAATTAAAAAATTTTATGATTAGTGGTGGTGGAGAATATAACTAGTTAAGTTAAAAGATTGGAATATGGTTTGAGTTTAGTGACAATTTTTATAAGTACAAATATAATATATATTATTTTTTCTTTAGGGAGAGTTAAATTATTTATTAAGGGGAATATAATAATGGTTAAAAAATAGGTAAATGGGAAACTTTGTGGAAGGATTATGGAGATAGTAAATTTGCAGTAATGTATAATTATATAAAATAATTAAAATTCTTTATTAATAGCGGTGGTGGAGAATACAATTAATTAAGTTAAAAGATTGGAAAATGGATTGAATTGAGTGACAATTTCTTCAAGTATATAAATTAATTACTATTATCGAGAGAAAGTATAATAACTTATCTAGGTAATTACAAAAATGGTAAAAAAATTGGTAGATGGGATATTTTTTATAAAAAGAATTATGGAGATTATTAGAGTGTTAATATGTATAAAATAATCATCCATTATCTATCATTAGTGGTGGAGGGTCATATGATGATGAAGCAGAAAGTGAGAGAAAGATAGGTAAATGGGTAGAATTGACGAATGGGTTTTACTGGTAATTTAGAATTTAGTAATAATCATAGGGAAAATTAAATCTTATATTGTGGAGAATACAAAAAAGGAAAAAAATTTGGAAAGTGGGAAGAGATAAAAAAAGATTTTGTTAAAATAAAGGAAGGATTTAAAAAGATGTATATATTTTTCTTTTTAAAAATA